TTCTTATCAGCTCTTAGCATGGCCTCATCTCTGTATGTTTAAAGAAATAAATTTATAATGATTCAGGTTTTTTTGAGCATTTTCATGTCACACAAATTGTTAAACATCGATGTTTCATGTTACACCATTTTAATACCAAGTTGGCTTTAATATTTTAGCTTATGATGTGCTATATCTGTATTTAACAAAAAAAAAAATAAGATAAAAGTGAAGAAGTGGAGGCCAGAAAAAAAAGTGTAGGCAGAGCGCAGTAACAATAACTGAAGAGAACAAGGCAATATAGTGGGTGTTAGATTAATCAGGGCCAAGGCTCGTTGCCAGATACTTCATTAGTGAGTGCTGATCAGAGATTTCTCTTTCTCTCTTGGCTGATTGAAGTGGTCATCCATTAGGTATCTGTATCCCAACCATGCTATCAAAGCAAAGTGGCTATTCCTACCATTCTTTAGGAAGAATAAAAAAGTGTTTGTAGCACACCTTAGCCTTTGAAACATTACTTCTTGAAGTAGCTAAAATTAGATGGGCCAGTGAGCATTTTCTTCTTCTTTCATAAGTATTCTTTCGTAAGTATTGAAAGGGAAAAAACACAACTTTTGTTTCATTTTGCACTGTAGGTGAATTCAGAATACTTGCATATTTTTAGAGACAGTCTGGCTAGGACCCAATGCTATTAGTTCATTTTATACTTTTAAAAAGTTTTTTTTTTCTCCAAATATTTGACTCAGTATATTTTGATTAGACATTTGAATATACAGCTCAGTAAATGTGATAGTTTGGAACATGTAATGGGTGCATTTCAAAGAAGGATGGGTGGTTATATAAAATACGAGGGAAACAGGATTCAGTGAATGGGTATGTGTGTGCACAATCCTGTATTTGACAAGGACATATGTAATATTACTGTATTTAACTTTTTAGAATTGAAACTTTTCCTGCAGTGCTGTACATTAAAGTAGATTCAACTTATATGAGACAAGTTAGTAAAACTTATAAGAAAAATAATCTGAAAACTTGAAATGCCATAATTAAAAGCATAGAAAGATTAAAATGTGTTGAGTCATTTCTGATCTTAGTATAAATAATGATTTATTTCATATACAACCTTAACCTTGCCAGGAGAGGAGAGGAGAGAAAGAGGAGAAAAGAAAAGGGAAAAGAGAAAAAGGCTTTACAGTTTTGATCCAGGGCTACTTACACATTGAGTAGACAAGGACTTAGACTTGAAGAATCAGACCCAGTTTCATTGACAGAGAAAAGGATTTGTAATTCAAAACCTGCAAACTGCTAAGTTATAATGATACACTGTGGGGCAGCATATAAAATATCTTTTCTGGACACTCATGGGGTAGAGCCTTTTTTAAACCAGAGATCAAGAAAGTACCAGGTTTCCCTATTCAATTCTGTAGAAGGTCCAATAGCCATTGGAGAGATGCATGCTCCTCTGTTCCTAACCATTACAAAGGCACTTCATATATACAACGATGGAAATTCTTCTCTGGTTGTGTGGGCCTTCTGGAAGTGACTGGGGGACAACCCAACTGGCACTGAGACCAAATACACTTGTTTATGGAAATAATAAATATATTTCACACTATCTTAAGTAGATTATATAATTTTTGTCATGTTTCTGGTGGGTGTTTCTGCATGGTTATACTGGGATCACTACAGCTCAGTCCTTACTACCATCTCCTTGCTTTGCAATACTCTCATCTGCACAGTGAAGGTAAAATAGATGTGAAAAAAGCTAAACAAAAAGAGGGTAGAGAGAAGGGCAATTCATGCCAGAGGACTTTGTTTTCTTTCACTGGAATCTCAGACTGGAAGGACCCTTTAGAACTCAAAAACTTTGTCATGAATTAGATGAATAGGTAAAATCAGCTGGTCAGTGGCCCTAAAATTAATTGGAAGTAGCATAGGATTTACAGGATTTATGGGATTTACAAACAGCACAGGATTTCCTGTTACCAGCTGAACTGAAAAAAAAAAAAAATTTAATTAGACTTCTCAGAAAGAGCAGGGGAACCAGAATTTTCAAGTAGTAGGTGGAGAATTGGTTTGTACAACTGAATTCAAACTATTCCAGAACAATTCTGTTTGTTTCTGAATCCATATCTGTTTATGTTCAAGTATTAGCTGTTATTGTCTGGAGTTTCAAAAAATGAGTACTGCAACAGTTGCCAGACTTTATTATACTCTTTAGAGCTTTTTGATTTGGTAGGTAGGAGGAACCTGGCTTCCTGTTTTTTGTTTGTTTGCTTGACATGAAATACTATGTAATAAAAACAAAAGAAAACAATATCCCGTTGCTTTCTCCTTCCTCAGTTTTCCTCCCTGTGTAATGGATTTTCTAGTAGATTTTAGTTATTATGTTTTGTCTCAAACATACAAGAATAAACATTTCCTGGATTACTTGAGGTAAGGTGACAATAGAGAAATTTGCATTGCCTGTGAAGAATGAGAATTACAGGTTTCTTCTCTGAACAACAGATGCAAGTTTAATTTGGACTACAATTTGGAAATAAATTATTTCTAAATTTAATTGACCTTGATGCTTTTTCTCTCCCTATTTGCTCTTTAGGTATGAACAACCTAAGTGTGATAACAGTGCCAGAGCTCACCCAACTAAAACAAAGGATTTGTATAAAGGACGCCAACTTCAAGGTGAGTAAAATAGATAAATTTGCTTTCATGTGTTTTAGTGTTTTGTTTACTTAAAGCAATAGCTCAGAAAGCAATTTCTTATCCTATATCAAAACATATGTCTTTTAAATATTGGCATATTAATTTGACACTAACAGAAGCCTTTATTTTGGGACAGTGTATGTAAATATGAGTTTTAAGATGTTGTCAGAGAAAGTAAGGCTCATTTCTCAAATCAAATTGCTGCGTTGAAGTCAGTATTTTAAAGGCAATCCTAATTACCTACCGCAGTTACTTATTGCTGTTATCATTACAGAGAAGTCAGCAAGTACGTCAAAAATAACTTGGGCCATACTTCATAATCCTTGTTCTAGCAAAAATCTTGGAAAATAGGCCTCTATCTTCCAATAAGAGTAAAAAAAAAAAAACCCAAAACTATATATTTCTTTTTATTTTTACCTCAGAATAATATTATTTTACTATTAATGTTTTAGGAACAAATTTTGGTATTTGTTTGATTTTGATGCATTTTTTTGGAGTTTTAGAGATTGTATTTCTGGCGTGCTAAGCTACACAGAAGCCTTTGCTTCTGAATCAGGCTTTTAATGTTATGCATAACTTGATTCTCAGTATATTTTAGTGAAATTGCCCAAATCAGGAGGAAATCTCACAAAATATAAAACATCCCCCCAGATCATTTGTTGATTACTGCTTCTTTAGAGTAGCTGATAGTGACTCCTGTTTTATGTCTTGTGAGATATTTCAGTTTAATGATCCAGATAAATGTCTAGACAATATTTCTGAACTAAACATGCTCATCAGTGTTGAAATTGATCTTCAGTGAAGGATACATTAATCCTGACTGTCATGAAGCAAATTTAAACACAAGATATAATTTGAAAAGATATAAGAAACGTGATTGTTTGAAGAAACAACAGTTGTATGTTGTATTCTTTATGGAAATAAGTCAAGTGCAGATTAACTGTAAGCCACCTAAACTGCAGTGGCTTCAAAAATGGGAACCAAAATGAGAATCCAAAAACATATCTAGGACAGGTAGGATGGACAGACAGACAGGATAAGGCAGATAGGGAAACATGCCAATTTCCATAACTCTGTTATTTTTTCTGGATTTTATCTGGACACATGTGTAAAGTTCTGGTCATCCGTGTTCATGCCTGACTTGGAATTGTGCTATTCAGTTGTTCACAGACTGAGTTCAGCAAGAAACATATGTCCTCAAATGCACATAAATACTCAAATGAAATATAGTGGTAAATGCACCTTTATTGACTTTCAGATTGTTTAGGTCTATACATAACTTCATCAGACCAATTCATCATTGATCACTGTAGTTTTGAAACTCCAGGGATGTTAGAAAGTATATGAGGGCTAATTTGGGACATACTGTACCATTCTTACCTCATTAAAGGCAATGGAAAGTTGGTTACTAGTTTCTGTGGAGACAATTTATGTCAGAACAGTACTTGCATAGTTAGTAATTTGTATAGTTACTTGATTTTGGAAATACTCTGATGAACCAATCTATTCTACTCTACAGAGTCTTGAATGATTTGTTTTAAGACTGTTGTGGATAACTTTTATGTAAAGTAAATCGGTCAAGAGTTTTTAATGTGGTGTGTGATGAAGGTTAGCAGGGGCTAAACCTAGATTTTGATGAAGTAAGGTATAGGTATGCCTGCATTTTTTCACAAAGAGCATTAGTAGGAAATGTGATTTTTCTAGGATAATATTCTTATTTAGAAACAGAATTATGTTATTCTGAAGAAAAAAAGAAAACACCCACTAAAAGACACACCGGCTTGAGAGACATCCAGCAAGACACGATGTCATGTTGGATTTTCAGACTTAACTCTTTTGCTTTTGTGGCTTTAGGTCAGACCATTAATGTTGTTTGCATTTCATTTTAGTTTGTTTAAGTTTCTCCTTTTCTTTAGCACAGTATGCTTTTAAAGTTTCTTTAGTCATGATACTTCCTGTCATACAAAGGGATAATTTGGGAAGGGAAACTAGTTTGGAAATGACAGTGCTTTGTGCATTATAACTGTAATACAATCTATTGACTTGGCTGAATGTTGAGATTCGCTAAGTCCATGTACTAAAAACCCTGAAATCACCCTTCTCTATTTTCCCTTGATACTGGAATTCTTCGCTACTAAATATTTCCTCATGCTGAATTGCTGGTCTCAGTTAAACCAATTTGAATTCAGTAGAACTTTGAAGTTACTTTAAATTTCTACTAGTAAATAAGACCAGTATTTCACTATTGTTTTTTGTCATTCCTGGCTGTCAGACTGCTCTCTGAAAAGCTTCAGATGCTTCTCATTAGAATTTTACATCCTGGTGTACCTTACCAAAATTTGGCTGTTTTGATAGAGCTGAGTTAATAAGCACCTGAAATGTTTCCATTGTTAATTTTTGGAGTTTACTTAGTGACACAATAGGACCCAAATTAGCAAAACTGGCATCTTTGCTTATTCTAGAATTCTCAATATAAATCACTCCTCCCTGCCCCGGTCGAAAAACTGTTAATCTCATTCATTACTGTGCTGATACTGTGTTGGACTTCATGATAAACATCTTAAACTTCCATTTCATTGGAAAGTGTTCCAAAATGCCTTGATCCTTCTCTGTTGTATACCTAAACACCTTATTTAAACATAAAATTCCCTCTTAACACTTCCTTAAATATGTCTTTATTGAATTACAGAGTGATCATATTCTGATTTCGTAGCCTAGTGATTATGTTCTCAGCTAGTGTGTTGTCCTAGGGATCTTGAACTCTTAATCTGACCTTAGCATTCATGCAGTTATTATTTGCTCCTGAAAAATTATTCAGGAGAGCTGTTTAAGTCATGTTGTTTATTTTACAACTGCATGTGACTTAAGAGAAAGGTAATTTTTCTAACTGTCTAATTTTCTTACTATTGTCATGTCTTTATTTACTATTGTTCTCATGTGATATTTCAGCACTAACCCTGAACAATTTGCAGTTTGTGGAGCACAACTCATGATTTAAGTTATGTAGGAATCCTCTGTGGATATGTACAGTTTGCTCTTCAATACTGGCAGTGCATTTTCTTTTTCCAAAGTTAAAGAGAATTCATACGTTCATATTGAGATGATGCAAGATCCACATCCAAACAGCGATCATATAAATTGTCTTATTACTTCAAAGGCATATTTAAAAAGAACGTGATATTGAGTCAAGTTCCATTATATGTTATAATTGCTCTACTTTTGAAAAATAACACAAGAGATTTCATAAGGTACCTAACTGTTTCCAGGGCAAAGTGCTAAGGTACTATGACTAGCCACTATCAAGAATAGTCACTATCACTAACTTTGAGCATTTAGTTTCTCACTGTTCTTCACTTCCTCTGTGGAGTCTGGTGCCAGTACTGAATAAAAAATAATCTTATCTTAATACACATTCTTAAGTTTATTTTAGAAAGTATCAATTAAATAATTGAATATTTCTGATCATAATACGGATCATATACATAAGCCTGTTTTCCCATGAGCTCTCAAAATGTTAGGTCAATTTCTACAATTATTCTCCACTGAGTTGTGGTTTGAAATAATTCTGTTTTTGTGATGTAACCAACCTTTTGGCTGGATGACCTAATATTTAAAATACCCTTTTGTCTTATTGAATCTTAAGATTCCAAGCTGTCTATCTTGAAGGCCGTAATTAAAACAACCATTTGAAGTTGCTTGCTGTTCTAACTGCATCTGTAACTATCTTTTTGAGTCCTATATTGCTTCATCTACCGAGAGATATTTGGCAAGATGGATCTATACTGTAGCTGATCTGCCTCGTTAAGTGTTGGACATCCAGCAGGAAATGCTGATGCAAAGACAGGAATGAAGGTAGAATTGAATTGTACTGCTGTTGAGGATGAAGGACAGAATCTTCTTGGAGCCAGGCTGCAAATGCACTGAGGACAGGAGATGTGAGAAGGTGAGGTGCATGGAGATGTTGGAACAGCAGGCTTATATCTGCTGGATACATTCCAATGCTTTGGGCAAGATCTAGGTTAGTGACAGCTCTGTGAAAGGCCCTTTCCACATATTAAGGGGCACTACTATTAACATGCACTGGAAGCAAGAGACAGTGGCTATGGAGGAGTCTAACAGAGTGAAAGATGAGATCGGCATGTAGGGTAAAGAAGATCAGAGAGTTCTCAGTGTTATGTTAATGCAACACCAGTGCACTCGGTGCACAGGAAGAAAAGAGTGCCATACTGCACACAGTCAGGTATTGCAAGCACTGGTGCAGTAACAGTATATGCACTGCGGCACAAAGGGTTATTTTAGTAATGAGTAGTGGTGGTCTGGGGAGGATGTTGGGCTGAGGCACTAAGACTTATAAATACATAGATCTATCAGTCAAACCTCCTTATAAAGAGGGAGGTCCACAGCAGTCAGACCTATATTTTCTGAGGCCACAAGAGTAATTTCAGAGAAGCTGAGCTTCAGAAGAGGGGTCTGTCCTTTTAACATACAACAATTTATTTATGTGCTTGACCTTTTGGGTTTGATGGCTCTGACATTATAACTATATTGTCTAACTGCATCATTATATTATAGTCTCCCAATGGGAAGTTTTGTTCCAGACAAAATAAGGCTTGTAAATTATTTTTCAAGGCTCTGAAGATCTCATTTAATATCCTTATGTTCTGTACACTATCTCCTGTTCGTCTCCCCATCCTTCCTTAAATCAGCAGAGATCTAATCACAGCCTTTTATGCTGTTTTACTTTTGACTGCAATAAAAAACATTAAAATATTAACATCAGTAAAATATTAACATCTGCACCATAAATTCTACATCCCATAACTTCAAGATCTTCCAGTTATGTAAGAATTCACCTCATCCCTCCCCCCTCCTCCCCAAAATACAGTGAAAGCATTTGAGCAACCAGTGAAGTGCCAGTCAAAGACACAGCTGTGTCACAGCTAACAGAAGAGAAAAGCTGGCTAATTAAAGGTGGTGAT